GCTTATTTTTCAGCTAATTGCAAAAACAAATGTTGCCATGTCCTTTTTTTCCTTAACGTTAAAAAAATAATTACAAAAAGTCATATATGTAATTCTGTAGAACAATTGCACCTTGTGTCAAGGGCCCAGTGCTGGTATTTATGGGCCTATATTGAGACTAATAAAATTCAGTCAGCCCAATAAGGTCCCAGCTCGTCATCAATCACAAAAAGCTATATCTGATTTTCTTTTGCTGTATTTATTTTGGAAATACAAGTGTGTATATATACTAGTGAGAATCCCGTGCGATGCACGGGGTTTAGTATTTTAGAACATTTTTTTTAGACTTTATTTTAACAATATATTAGAATGCTGACTCTTTATATTAATATAAAAATAATATTTTAACATATATATTTATTTTTTAATAAATAAAAAATTATAATATTACATACTTTAGTTCATCATAATACTCAAATATTATTTTTTTTCAAAAATTTATTCTCGTATAATGTCATTATTATATATAACACTTATAGAAGTAATTTTATTTTTTATCTAATGACAAATATTTATATTGATAATATTTATTGATGTAATCAGTTTAAAATTATATAAATAAATTTAATGTTTATAGGAATATGATTGTATAGAAGGTAAGATAAAATAGAATGAATAAACCTTAATTGAATAAATCCAAAGTGACGTGCAATTAATTTTGGCAGATTTTTTTGTTATTATTTTTGGTAAATAGTTTCTCTCTTTATATATACGTAGATATCCATTTTGAGTGCCAAAAAAAAGCAAAAAAAATAAAATAAAATGCAATTTACCCTTGAGATTGGCAAGAGCCCTTTTGATTTTGTTCTCACATCCATAAGAATATAAAGGCACCATCATTTCCACATATTGTGCCTCAACATTCTTCCCAGCTGGGACTAATTGCAGATTAGCCATTAATTAATCTCCCACTACTAGTTAAATTTTTTGCTACAACTTATTGATCTATATGTTTTTGTTGGAGCCTATACATATATATAACTTTGATATATGTGCAAATCCAAATCTTAGGATAACTTTAGATAATGGATTTTATCTATATATTTCTTATTGAAAAGTAGGACATGAACACATGCGAGTTTCCTTTTAGAAAGATGGATTTGTAGCATCTTTTACTAAAATTTCAACCTTTTACAACTCGGATCGATGACATCATATATATGCTTTGGGATTTTGTATTTTCTATATTAATCCAGTCGAGCACAGCTCGTCGAGCTCTAGCTCACTCGAGCCCTTATCGAGCGGAGCTGTTATGTTAACGAGCCGATATATGATAAAAATTCAGAAAATTACATCATTAACTAAGTGAACATTAAATTAATTAAACAAACTCGAGTTCAACTCATTTATCAAATAAGTCAAGCGAAACTAAACTCATTTATCATCTCACAAAATAGCATTGCAATCTTTGAGCATATATAAATCAAGCAATAAAAATTGTAAACAGCGGCTAGCTTACTTTTTTTTTTTATTATTATTTTTTTTAATAATAGCTTGCTTACTTAGCTGGTTAAGGTTTCTAAATTTGTTAAGATTTAACTTACTATTAGAATTGAGAAAAGCAAAGAGTCATAGTGAGTCAGAAAAGTGTAAAACTTGCGTCAGTTTTGTACACCTATACTTCCCCTGCATGCGCATGATCTTCAGGGTCAAATAATGAATAATATGAACGCTTACTAAATTATTATTATTATTATTATCATTATTATTATTATTATTATTATTATTATTATTGAGAATGATGCCGACGAGATTGCATTAGCATTTCTCGACACATATGATCGACTCTGGCCTTTAGTTTGATCATTATTATTATATTTTATTATTATTTAATTATGTTTATTTATGTTATTTTGGGTTTTTTATTATGTTGTAGTGGACTTATTGTATTGGGCTTTTAATTAATATTGTTTAGGATAATTGTGATGTAATATTTAAAAGCAGTTGTGTATCTGGAACAGGCAGTTATCAAATTTGTGAAATTGTATCATAAAGAAAGAACGAGCGTGTGTTTTCTGTAATCTCATTCCCTCTCATGCTTCCTGCAACATCATAATTGTTCAAGAAAAATTATACAACTAACAATTCACGTCTTGGCTAATATATTTAAGTGGTATTTTCCTTATAAATCATATATTTAAGTGTTAATTTATTTATTATTGTGCATATTATTTTAAAATTTGTTCCAGTTAGGCTGCTAATCGACGGACAATCTAACTGTAGTGTTATACGATTATACTTTTTCAATAAATCTGTATATTTTTAAACTGAAATTAATGTTATACTATGAACAACAATATAAATAATAATATTAAATTTCATAATATAAGTTTTGTTATTACATTAGTTGCTCATACCCTACAAACATTAATCACCTGATTTTGGACCTGAAAATTGGCATAATCTAAGTCCCATAACACATGATCCCCACATGCTAAATAATGCCACGTCCACAGGATAAAACTAATTAATACTAGTATGAACTTAACAATTTAAAATCCTATGTATTACTCAAGAGCGCTTGGATGAGATGACTTGAGTTTCTTCAGCTTAATCAGTGGTCTCGTGTTCGAGATCTGTGAATGCAGCAGTGTTAAAAACTCTTGAGGGAGAGCTTTGCAGCCCTTGTGGTCCTACCCGGCTCCATTCCGGATTAGTCGGTTCCCCTATGGATTCAAAAACCGGAATGTCCCTGTACCCAAAAAAAAAAAAAAAAAAAAGTCCTATGTATTGATGAGTCGGATCTGGATACGGGGAGGGTCCCACCACGTTGGATCCATTTGGTGATCCGACTCGAACCAGGGAATCTACACGAGAAATTCCAAAAATCGTACACATCGGATTGATTTCGTCTTTCCACCTGACATGCCATGTGACGTCCACAAACAAAACCTGCAGAGTGTTTTAATTAATTATTAATTTCCTCGAGTTTTTCTCGCAAACAAGTTCAATTGTCTCCGGTCCGATTGGGTTACAGCGGATTTCCTCCCTCCTTCTGGGATTGGAGTGTGGCTGGAGCACGATATCATTGCGGTGTCGTACCCCGTCAGGTTCTAGTCTACATCTCGTTTTTGACTTTCGGCCTCTTTCGTTGTACCAAAAAAAAAAAATTATATATATATAAAAAAAAGAAATTGACATATAACTTGTAAGAAACTGGGGGAAAAATGGAAAGCCCATATGAAGCCCAATATGGTGAAAGGAGGAGTAGCCCATTAAACTTATTAAGTGGGTCTATTTTCCAGGGGAAAAATGGAAAGCCCATATCAAGCCCAATGGGTTCCATCCCAAAACCAATTGGTGAAAGGAGGAGTAGCACATTAAACTTATTAAGTGGGTCTATTTTCTATGTATTAACAATGTGGGACAACTCACAAGTGATATTCTAACATAACTTATTCGCGAATAAATTATTAACTCGTCTTATTTAATAAATAAACCTGTTTAATTATTTGAGAGGCTAGCTCTAACCACAAGAGAAGCTAAAATGAAAAAAGGAAAATAAAATAAAACATCAATTAATTTACCTCTAAATTCTGCATTTAGTATCTCATTATACTAAAAAATACAAACAAGATAGTATGCGCGCAGAATCCCTCCATATATGATCACATTCCATTTTGATCAAATCATAATAATAATAATAATAACTAATTAAGAGGCATAATAATTAACGAGGAACAAAAAATTTTCCTCTAATTAATTAATTCCCTTTTTTTTTCCCGACAAATTCCACATCACATAATTCTACAAGCGTTAGGATTTTCGTCGGAAAATAGCTGCGGCGCCGGAATCCTCTCGATCATATACACCGGCTGATAATAATGATACATCATTTTATGCACGGCATGCTCCTCCATGCTGACCTCCACCGACTCGCCGCCTTGCTCCGGCGGGCCGCCGTCTTTCTTCTCCTCCACCGGCTCCGGCGGAGGCGTGTCCTTCTTCTCGCCGTCCTCTTTCTTATTTTCCTCGGGTTTCCCGCCGCCTTCTTCTGAGGCGGCCGGTTTTTCATCTTTCTTCTCTTCCTCTGGCTTCGGGCCCTCTTCAGAGGGATTTTCGGGCTCGGGTTCGGGTTGGGGCTGGGGAACGATTTTGGCCTGCTTCCTCGTCCGCCGGTAGACGTAGTCAACGAGCCTGTCGGCGTCCATGGTTCCGGTGACCGTGACTTTACCGGAGCTTAGCTCTGTATCTGCGGTTCTTACTCCTGCAGTTATGCACGTGTGGCTAAATTAATTAATTAATGTTTAATAATGTGTCTTATTTTCTTAAGCTTCAAGTGGGAATTGTTGGTAGTTGACTAATTGTAGGGGTGAATTTTTATTAAATAGTGAGCATTTGTAATATTGTAAAAACATAGAAAAAAAAAAAAAAAAAAAAA